TCTCTCTTTCTCTCTCTCTTTCAGGAAACCAAGATTGACTGTGTCCGTGTGGCCACTAAAGGTGAGTGTGAGGGATTGAAACATGCTCCCTAAAGCTGAAAAGCAGATAGAAAAGAGCTGATCTGAGTGAGGAACAGCTGATATTCACTACACAGTGCACATTTACACATGACTTAACACACTACACAATAGACCGTATGCGGTGCATACTGCATACCAGACACTACACAGTACACACTGCATACTAGAAACTACACGCACAGTTGCACACTAGATAACGCATACTAGAAACTGTACACTGCATACTAGATAATGCATAGACACTGCACAGTACACTATACACACTGAAAACTAGACAATGTGTACTGCACTCTAGAGAATTTGCACTCCACACAGTACTACTACATTGCATACTGGACGATATGCATGCACCCTAGACATTATGCATAGCACACTACACTACTCGCTACATACGAAACAATGCACACACTACACATTACACACGACATCCTAGACAAAGCATACTGAACAACGCACAGTAGACATCATACACTGCAGTACACAACGCATACTGGTAAATGCATACTAGACATTGCACACTACACCCAAGACAATACACAGTACACACTGCATACGAGATAATGCATACTAGACACTACACACTCGTGCACACTACACAACACGTACTAGAAACTGTACACTGCATACTAGATAATGCATAGACACTGCACTTCACACTACACACTGAAAACTAGACGATGCGAACTGCACACTAGAGAATTTGCACTGCACACACTACTACTACACTGCATACTGGACATTATGCTTGCACCCTAGACATTATGCATTGCACACACTACACATTACACACGACATCCTAGACAAAGCATACTGAACAACGCACACTAGACATCATACACTGCAGTACACAACGCATACTGGTAAATGCATACTAGACACTGCACACTACACCCAAGACAATACACAGTACACACTGCGTATGAGATAATGCATACAAGACACTACACACTCGTACTAGAAACTGTACACTGCATACTAGATAATGCATAGACACTGCACTTCACACTACACACTGAAAACTAGACAATGTGTACTGCACTCCACACACTACTACTACATTGCATACTGGACGATATGCATGCACCCTAGACATTATGCATAGCACACTACACTACTCGCTACATACTAAACAATGCACACACTACACATTACACACTACATCCTAGACAAAGCATACTGAACAACGCACACTAGACATCATACACTGCAGTACACAACGCATACTGGTAAATGCATACTAGACATTGCACACTACACCCAAGACAATACACAGTACACACTGCGTACGAGATAATGCATACTAGACACTACACACTCGTGCACACTACACAACACGTACTAGAAACTGTACACTGCATACTAGATAATGCATAGACACTGCACTTCACACTACACACTGAAAACTAGACGATGCGAACTGCACACTAGAGAATTTGCACCGCACACACTACTACTACATTGCATACTTGACATCAGACATGCACACTAGACATTATGCATTGCACACTACACTACTCGCTGCATACTAGACGATGGACACAATACACATTACACACAGCATCCTATACAATGTATACCAAACAACGCACACTAGATACAAACTCATGTATAGACATAATGCATACTGCACACTACACAGTACACACTATACATTGCATACTGCACTGCACACTAGACACTATGCACTGCACACTACATACTAGACAACGCATAGTAAACAGTGCACACTAGAAACTGCACTGCACACACTACATAGCATCCACTGCATGCTAGATGATGCATGCTAGACATTACACACTGTACACTACATAATTGATGCATACATTGTACACTATGCACTGAACACTACACACTGCCTACTATATATTGCATACTACACTCCATATTACAAAGTGCATACTAAACAGTGCACAACACACACTTTTTTTTAGACACGGTTTAGCACACTTAGACACTATGCAGTGCACACATTTAACACTAAACACAAATAAACAAACTTTTAATAGTCAAGCATGTTTTGCTCCATAAGTCGGATGTTTGGGTTCAGATTTAGTCCTTGAGCGGCAGCTAAAACACAGCCGTTCTGTATCCTTGAAAGCACAGTCATGAAATGCAGTGTTGGAATAGAGCGTAGTGTAGTTTGAGGAGTCTGCAGGGAGACATCAGACACGCGGCGGCAGATGGAGAATCACAGCGCTGCAAACACACCGAGTGTCCAGAACCGCTGCTTTCTGACCTCTGGTGGACCATTAGGAGAGTCTGAAGCTCTTTCTGCCGCTGTTTGCTGTTTAATTGAGTGCAGATGGTGCATCATCTATTCTCCTGTCTACATGCCACGTCTCTAATGGAGTCAAGCCTGCTCCATGCAAATGAGAGATTTGGAGACACTCGTAAACTGGAAACCATCTGACGCAGATCCTGCTTTGTGCATTTAATGCATTTATTAAAACTGATTAAGCATGAAATCGAGCACAGGCTTCAGATGTTTCAAACACAGCATTATATGCAGAAAGTTTGTGATGAAACACACACCAAAGGAGGATTTTTGAGCGTTTCTGAACATTTAGAGTTGAAGATTAAATTGTTAGCCCTCCTGTGAAATGCAGGCTATTATTTATTTTATAATAATTTCTATAAGAGCATTATTAACATTATTTGACTTAAATTACTTATGTTAA